CCACAGCGAGGCCTGAAATAGGCCTTACAGTGAGCATATGTGACCTTGGTTTGGCTGGCCCGATTTTGATTGGTCCATATGTGCGGTGTGGCGGCGTGCACGCCGACAGTTGGCTGGCCCCACTCGGCCATACAGTTGGTGGACCAATCAGGCGACGGCGTCGAGCTGCTCTACTCTGGCCTCTACCAGATTGTGGCCGGACCTGGTGGTTGTGTCCTGCCAGACGGACAGGCAGAACAGATGATTGCTGACTTTGCGACGGCTCAAACGGTGGACGACGTATCGTCGTGGCGACAGAGAGCATTGGCCAGTCGACAATTGTGATAACCGGCCAGAGACGACGTCCGACGAAGCGGAGCAGACGATCTCGTGTCGACCAGACGATGTAGCTCAAGCGGAGCTACGTCAGTTGCGTAGGTCGGGCTGCCTGTTTCCAAGTGCATGTGTCCGGCTTTGTGTTTTCGCTGTCGTGAAGGCCTGTAATCACTGAGCCCGGGAGGTCCGAGACCAATGGAGTGTGCACCGTCTCTTGGCACAACCGATTGTTTACACGATCGAGGTGAGTGTGTCTCAACTGTCTGTCCATCAGTGTGTGTGTGTTCAGTAGCGGTGCGTCGGAGACCGGCCACCGCCGGTACAGGCAAGAGTCACAACAACCGTGACGCCAACGGACTAGCTGAATCAATGCGACCGGAGGCTCGGAGACAAGTACACCGACCAAGTGTCTCGGTCCACTTCACTTTCATCCTTCTCTTCTGCCCGTTTTCCGGTCGTCAAGGCCAGTCCTGTCCAGCCAACCGATACAGGCTTGTCGACTTGTCGGCTTGACGACGCCACCTTCGCCTCGATCCCCTCCCACCGGGTCATCTGCACCCCGAGCCGGGGCCAATCAGACCCTATCCTCTGTCTACCGTCGACGTTCCCGCCCTTCCCCCCTCGCTCCCCATCTCTACCCCAAACCATCTGGACATGGTGCGCATTATGCTCACCGGCGGCCAGTCTCCTCTTGACACCGTTGCCATGGCTACGGCTACAGCTACTGTTGCTGCTGGTGCTGCTGCTTCTGCTGCTAATGCTGTTGTCACTGCCGCCTCCGCTTCGCTGGGCCCTTCGAGAGTACGATCGACCGACTTGATTGGCCCTAGCGACAACGGTCACGGGCTCAAACTGGCCCGACCCAACGACGTCTCCGGCACCGGAGTGAAGAGGATCGGTTGCCTGGGCAACCGGGGCGGTCTGGATGGTCCGATCGTGGGAGTCAAGCGGCGCCGGTTCACCGAGCACGGAGAGGCCCCTCTGGCCAGGCTGCCCGGAGGGGGTGCGCCGAGTCTCGAGTCTCCGGCAGCGTCTCTGCTGGAAAAAGCGATGATTTACAGACGCTTTGGCGGGTCGCAGGTAAGACAGCACAACAACAACAACAACAACACAATTTCCCCCTTCGCCCCAAACTCCCCCAGCCTCTGGTTCCAATCGAGCGATTCGATGTGAATTCCTCTTCCTGAGGATGGCTTGAAAGCTGTTGCGAAAAGTCATACGTCTCGTGCCTCCTCTTCCATGGCAACCAGTTGCCTTTTTAGTCCCCAACCGGTAAAGCTCGCGTCCAGAAACCCTCCTTCTAAAAGGTCCGAGTCAGGTCTTGCGTAGGCATAGTGACTGGCGCATAGAGACATGGCATAACAACAGTTTTGCTGCTATGCCAAACTGACGGTTTCTTAATCCTTCAGTAATGACGCACTCGACGTGATGCCATAACAAAAGAGCGTGACCAACGACGGTAGATGTTATGCTTTTCTCTGCCAGCTTCCCGCATACATGCACACATAAAGGCATTTGAGCACACACACAAGCCTAACCGCGCTCAGTTTCCAAATGGGTGGCCTTCCAGACTATCAGCAACCGTGGCATAAGATCCAAGGCGATCGCTTTTGATTCTGGTGGAAATGCGGTCAGCTTTTATCGCAGAAACGATGAACATGGTCAAAATGAGCGTATTAAATCGAATGGGTGAATACAACTGCAGGAATTAGTCCGGCATGCTGAGTAGATGTCCTAAATTTATGCATTTTGATGAGGTTCACGGTGAGTTGCTTGGTTTCAATCATATTTCAATCGAGAAGCATGTGCATGCATACAGGAGTTCAGCTAGACCGGGTTAGATGAGACGATTTAAGGAGTGATATTCAAGTTTTCCAGATCTCACTTTCGGCTTTTCAATCATTCTGATTGAGGACCGCTATTGCGTATTCACTTTAGCACATACATTCACACAAAAGTAGCATGAGTAATATACAATGGAATCGGTCACATCGTTGTAC